GGGGGGGGGGGGGGGGGGTAGGCGCCCGCTCCCCCAGCCCAGCTGTGCCCGAGAAAAGAGGCGTTTTCTGCTTTGCTGATCTGCCTGAAGGACACAACGCCCAGAGATGGTTCCCTGCCAAGTCAGTAAATGACAAAGGCAAACACAAACGGCACCGGTCTTGCTGGCCCGGGGCCACGCTGCGGTCGGGAATTCGGCATATTCTGCAGCTGCGTCTGTTGGGAAACAATGCACAGCAGCCCTTGTCCTGAGGGCGGGGTTCACTTTCAACCACGGCTGTTTCTGGGAAAAGAGAACCCAGTCCTCCCAGAGAAGCGGGCTTCATAAGGACTCAACCCTCCTCTGCTTCCCGTTGCTGCCACGGCCAAAGGTGATCCGTGCAGGGCAGCGCTGCTTTAAGCCCTTCGGTTCATGATCCTGATTAATCCTCATAAGGACCTGATAAGATCAATACTGCAGCCCTCCTTCCTCTTGAGTGAAGTTCAGTGACTGCCCAGGGCCCCCCTTGGCCGGTCACAGTGGTCCAAGAAGGGGGCGGGGAGAACCACGGCAGCTGTATGCACTAGGCTCCCGTGGTAGCTGTAACAAGTTTCCACAAACTTTGTGGTCTAAAACAACACAAATGTATCACCTTATGCTTCTGGAGGCTGGAAGTCTGACACAAGCCTCACTGGGCTGAATGGAGGCGTCTGCAGGGCAGGCTCCTCCGGGAGGCTCTGGGGGGAGACGTCCAGCTTCCAGAGGCCACCCCCCTTCCTGGCTCGTGGCCCTTCCTCCACTTCAAAGTAGATCGGCGGGGCCACCTCTGTGCCCCCATCACTCTGAGCTTCTCTCCTGCCTCCCTCTGCCATACTGAAGGATCCTCATGACTCCTTTGGGCCCCCCTGGGTAATCCAGAACAATCTCCCTATTTTGAGGCCAGCTGATTGACAGCTTCAGTTCCATCTGTTACCTTAATCCTTTTGTGGTGTAAGATAGTACACTCGCTCAGGGGGTCCGTTCAGCTGGGGGTGGCGCGTTCACATCCGCGCCCTCCATGGCCCCCTTTCCCACGTACCTTGGACTGGCCGTCCCTGCCTCTGCTCTCCACCTCTCCCTGCAGAGTGGGCTGGTGCTGGCTCATACTGGCTCTGGGAGCCCAGGGTTACCTGGTATTGATAAATCCTATCAGTGTACAATTAAGTATAAGAAAACAAACGTAACAAATGCTCCAAACTCATCACTTTGTAATTGCTTTATTACAAGTTCCTGTCACCTGCGTTCTGTGGTTATTGGTGTCTGTTGGACCCAAATGGCAGAAATTCTGACACTTTCCCCGCCGCGCGTCTTGTCCCAGCTCTGTGTTCAGCGATGTCGTGGGGGCAGCTTGTGATTAGCCACGACTGGACAGTGAGCAGAGCGGACACGAGGAAACACTACCAGTCAGGGCTGGACTGACACTTTTGTAGATTATCTAGACTTAAGAAAGTGATGGAGAAATTATTAATAACGCAGATGAGCTGTTTGTAACGGTTGCATGGGGAAAAGCACAAAAGACCGTCAAATCATAATTGAACCGCGACCGTAAGTTGGCTACCAATACAATTTGGCAAAAGGATCCAAAGTGCTCTGTGTACATTCATTGGCTCTATGGAATTTGCAGTAAAAAGTACCGTCTATTATTGTTTGCAAATTGCGTGCTACCCTCCCTTTGCACCAGCAGAATGGAGAGTACGCGGACCCACGCATGTACGCATGAACTACCTTTTGCAGAGGGCTGGTTGTGAAACCCTCACCAGCACACTGCTGCCCCCTCCCCTGGCCTCTCCTCCCAGCACCTGTGTGCTGTGGGCTCACCTTCTGAACCACTCACACTTCCCAGAAGCTTCCCTGCTGGTACACGTGCTGTTTGCTCAGTGTGGTGTGACCCACCCCACCCCACCCGTCCATTGCTCGGGGGCTCCTGCTTGGCCCTAGGGCATAGCCCAGGAGCCACCTTCCTCAGGAGGCTGTCCTGGCCCCGGGGGGTTGAGTGTTCTCATTGCTAGGCACGGAGCCTAGCACAAGCCCTCCATGGCAGGTGCTCGAGAGATGTCACTCCATGGAAGGGTAGCACGCTCCTGTAAGGAGTTGGAGTAATTCCTGACTCAGGCAGGACGTCCTGTCTCCCAGGACAGAAGGAAACAGGAAACTGATGTAGATGCAGTTTGAAGGAGCCTGGGCTCCCAGCAGGTGGGTCTTCTGGATACATGGCTGGGGATGTCTGGAGGAAGGACCCCTGCCGCCTCCTTCAAAGCCTGCCATCCCTCACAAAGGGTTTCCTTATGCAGATCCGCAGGGGAGCCCAGGATTTAGGGCAGATTAGCTGCCTCCCCAGGGGGGATTCTGGGAACTGAGATCCTGCGCAGGTGTGCTGGAGGAGAAACAGGAATGGGGGTGAGGCAGTGCATAGGGAAGCAGCTCCCAGGGGAGCCCCCCCGCCCGGCACAGTCAGCCCAGATATGGAGGCAGTGGGCGTGGGCCCCCCTCCTCCACCCTCACCAGGGCTCCGTGGCAAAGGGTGGGCGGTGCTCACAGGAGACAATGCAGCCTCATCCCATGTCATGCTGTCACGCTGCTCCCCGTGGCTGGGACAGGGGGCTGGGGGCGGAGGGGAGGCCAGATGCCATCCGGAAGGGATGCCAAGTCGGGTAAATGTGGCACCCTGCTGTGCCAGATGCTGGGCCAGGCTCTTCCCACACACGCAAGTCCGTGAGGGTGGCACTCGGGATCACCCCATTTTGCAGAGGGCACACCGAGGCTTGCCCCTGGTGAACGTCAGCACCAGGACAGCCTCTTGGGGCCAAGCCCTGAGACCACCACACAATACTTGCTGAGTGTGGCCTTAAAATACTTGGTGCCCGGCCTGGGGCTGCAGACCTCGCACAGGAAGCCTGCCCGGCCCTCTGTCCTCACCGCTAGGGGCTCCTCGCCTGTCCCTGCCGGACCCCAGGTGGAGTCAGCGGAAACCACCAGGAAGGCGCAGGAAAACTTACTGGCCTCGGGCGGGGGGGAGGGAGCGGGAGGGAGGCGCGGCCCAGCCATAGAAGGAGCGGGTGCTCCCGGGCAGGGCCACAGAGCGGCCCCAGCCCCCGCGCTGTCCCCCGGCTGCCGGACTCACCTGCATTCCTTCCGAGTCTGCTGGGTGTGGCCGGGTTGCTGTGGCCACCGGGAGCCACCTTCTCCTACAAGCTGCAGAAATTCAGGACAATACGCCAGGGGCAGGAAGGGTTCTTGGAGCGGCTCCAGCTGGGAACATCGCCAGATTTTTCAGTGACCTTGCAATCACAGAAGTGCTTCCAGCCAGAGGAGCGGTGGGCTTCGAGGTGGCAACAAGGCTCGGGCAAAGGCCACCTGGGCTGTTGGTTTATCCTGCCCCCACTGGACACACACACACACACACACACACACGGACCCACGGGGCACACACAGCGCCCCCAGTGGCCACGATGGGGAGGCGCTGCCCCCTCCCTGCTCAGACAGACTTCCAAACATGACCCCTTCGAATTTTTTGAGTACTTGCTGCTATAATACCCTCCCTCCAACAGTCTCTTGAGGAAGGCTCTGTTCTTCCCCGTTCATGTTCTGGAGGAGACCCCTGCGAGGAGGGGTCGGGTAAGGAGGGGTGGAGGTGAGGGGGGTGCGGAGAGGAGGAGAGGGCTGGGGCTGCAGTGGGATGCAGGCGGGCCTGAGCTCAGGGAGCGGGTGCAGGTGGGCTCGGAGTGAGTGGGTGGTGAGGACAGAAGGCAAAGAGGGCCTTGTTTCTAGGGAGTCCGGCAGTGGAAGGAAGGCCAAACCCGCGGCTAGAGACACTGCTGGTTTAAAGGAGGGTTCTGTTCGAGTTTGGAGCCAGGGGCAGGTTTGGTGGGGAGGGAGGGAGCAGATGCTGGAGAAATGGGGGTGAGGGGGCAGTCCCTGGGTGAATGGTGTCGGCAGGGTGGGGACACTGCCAGCTCCTAAATGGAGGGGAGAGCAGAAACATGTGGGTTCAGCAGGGAGAGTGTGGTGCCACGTGGAGGAGTAGAAAGTGGGTGGCTTGCTTCCTGGTGCAGCAGGAGGTGACGCCATGAGCTCAGAGCAAGGGCCTGGGCAGTGTGATGAGCAGTTAAAGATGGGGGCCTGATGACTTTCTGCCATCTTTTTTTTTTTTTAAAGATTTTATTTATTTATCTGAGAGAGAGAGTGAGAGAGAGAGAGCACAAGCGGGGGGAGCGGGAGAGGGAGAAGCAGACTCCCTGCTGAGCAGGGAGCCCGATGCGGGACTTGATCCCGGGACTCCAGGATCATGATCTGAGCCGAAGGCAGTCGCTTAACCAACTGAGCCACCCAGGCGCCCGACTTTCTACCATCTTAAACATGTTTTATTTTGAGATCATTGTAGGTTCACGAGCGGTTGTGAGAAACCATTCAGAGAGATCTGAGCTCTCTCTGCCCCACCATCTTGCCCCTTGCATGACTCCGGTGCTCTGCCATGTTTGTTGGTACCTGGGCTCTCCCAGCCCCTCTCCTGCACTCCCTCTCCCCCTGGTGGCCATGTTCCTGATGTTCTTGTCCTTGGCTTCTAAAGCTGTCTTTTACCTATCAAGAAGACCTAGCTGCCCACCTGCAGACTCACCTGGGAGGACTCCTGATGACCAGTCCTAATGTTTGGGCCTCAGGGACTAGCGAGGAGGTAGCCATCAGCCAGGTTAGTCAGGTGTCTGGATCTGGATGGGAAGGCAGGTTAGGGGGACTTACAAAGTGGTGGAACAGCCAAGAACAAAGTTAGAAAGGGCAGTTTCCAAGCAGCTCTGGGGGGGTCCAGGTAACTGCCCCTGGGCGGAGTTGCCCCCACCCCAACATCACCCTGATCAGGGTCCCGGGTGAGAAAGTTCCATTGACCAGGCTTGTGTCCAAGCCCCACCCGTGGCCAAGGGGGAAGAGCTCCTTGGTTGATGGTCCCCTAAGCCTGCACGCAGTGGCCAGTGGCCGAGAGCAGCCTTCTAAAGTCAGGGAGCTGCGACCAGAGGAAGGGGGGAGAGACAGGCTAATTTGACTCCGCAGACCTTAGTTCAGTGTTGTGCAAACTTATAGGTGGAAATGGAGGCCACACATTCCAGTGATATTCACATGACAACCCTGGGGGGAAGAGCGAGTGGACACACGTGTGTTTGAGAATGCCTGGGGTGGACCCCATCTGATGCTGTGTCGACAAACTCAGAGTGTTGAAAACGTGTGACTCTAAGAACAAACAGCTGCAGTTCTCCGGGATTCTACTTAAAAGCAAACCGACATTTAGTCTGTGTCTTGCTGTGGGGAAACCGAGTCACGACCAGTACGAAGCTTCCCTGTGAGATTCTACTTAAACTATGATGGTTTATTTTCTATAACTCGTAGCCTGGAGACTATGGTGTTCGTTTTACTTATTTGTGCTGAGACATGGTATTTCCTCACATCTCCTTCATTATGGGAGATTGGACTTACTCATTGACCTCATTATATTTAACACACAGAGTCTCTTGTTTTAATAACCCAAGCTGCGACATAAAACAATGGTTTTAGATTTTCTCTTAATAGGGATAATCTCTGGTTTTGCTCTTACATAGAAAATAATGCAATGGAAATGTAACTGGCAATTAGAGCTGGTACCCTTTTAAGATGCACTGCACGACTTCCGGTTTAAAGAAGGTGGTCTAAGTCAGCACTCCCCTCTGCCTCGAGGGAAGATGCGCAAAGAACTAGCGCAATAAGGACGGAAGCACGAACTCTCCCTCTGATGAGCGGAGGCCACACATGAGACCGCAAGCCGGGAGGCAGGTGGAAGGCACCCGGAAAGCAAGGCGTACTTGGGGTGGAGAGATGATCCCACAGTGGCCAGTTTTAAAAAAGGCACCAAAAGAGCGCACGGCCAAGGGAGGGTGTCTGGAATGGACAGGGCAGGCGAGGCCAGTGCGCAGGCGGGGGGAGCTCCCCCAAGCTGGAGTTGGTTCTGGGGAGCAGAGCACGTGGGGCTGGATGAGGAGTTACCCGGAAGCCGTGTGTGGATACGGCACCATGTTACAAAAAGAGAGAGTGTAACCTACAGAAATCCGAGGGAACTAAGGTCAAGCACATGTCAGGTTATATACGTAAACTGGACAAACCTAACACCTAAACCCCCCAGGTCTGCACCCTGTCTAGAAGGCACTCTTAATCCTGTGGGACTGAGGAAAGTTGAAAACCCAAAGGACGGGGAAAGCACGTAGTTAATGTAGGGCGAGGCAGAGTTTAGGAGCAAGGCCAAGAAGGGCTCTTTAGAATAATAAAGAATGCCATTTATAACAACGCATCCCAGCTCTGAATACTTAGGTACCCAAAATGTTTCAACACCTAAAGAGCAAAAGTTATAGGAAAGGGGATGGTGTGTATCCAGGGTCACAGTATTAACAGGAGGCATTTAAGAAAATAACTGTTACGGTTTACATGTTAACTTTGTTGGTATTTCCCCAGTATTTTACTATGAAAAAGTTTCAAATCAGTTGACCCTTGAACAACGCAAAGGTTGGGGCCACCAAACCCTGCCCGGTCAAAAATCCATGTATAGATCCCCCAAAACTTAACTACCAAGAGCCTACTGTTGGCTACAAGCCTTCCTGATAACCTAAACAGTCAATTAACGCCTATGTTGTATGTTATACGTACTGTATACTGTATTCTCACGGTACAGTAAGCTACAGAAAAGAAACTATTATTAAGAAAGTCATAACAAAGAGAAAATACATTTACAGTACAGTACTGTATTTAAAAGAAATCTGCGTCTAAGTGGACCTGCGCAGTTCACACCCATGTGCCTCAAGGGTCGAAGGGACAGAGGAAGGTTGAAAGAACGGTACAGCGAACACTCCTAGAACCACCCACCACATCGGAGGACAGCCAGCGAGAGTGTGCGGGCTCAGCTCACTCACTGCCTGCTTTTCATGTCTTTCAACGGTTGGAAAACAATCAAAAGAAGAGAAATATCTGGTGACGCATGAAGACGATGTGAAATTCAAATTTCAGCATCCATAAATACAGACCCACTGCATTTATCTTACATGTGGTCTAGGCTGGTTTCTTGCACCAATGGACAAGATAAGTGGATGGATAGAGACCGTGTGGTCCATAAAGTCTAAAATATTTACTATCTGGCCCTTTACAGGAAAACTTTAACCAACCCCTGTCCTAGATTCTAAAATTAACATTTTTCTATAATGGCTTTATCACACATCTGCCCATCCCTCTAGTTGTGCATAAATCCAGACTGCTTTTGGATGCACTTTTGAAGTTGTAGACATGAGCGCATTTCACTCTTTCAAGGCTCCAGCATGCGTATCATTAATTAGGGTTCATTATTGGTGGGTTTTTCTAAAATTTACCAATGGCACAATGCATACAATTTAAGTCTAATCCAAACCTGTATCAAGACAGAGAAAGTTCCCACGACCTTTCCCAGGCCCTATGACCCCACTGGGACGCCCACAGTTCTGACTTTGGGTCACTATCGGTTAGTTCTGCCAGTTCGAGACTTCCATAGAACGGACTTGCACGCTACGTACTCTTGCGTGTGAGGGCGCATTCATGCTGCATAAAATATTGAGAATCACACCGTCTTGTGTCACGGTAGCTCTGGCCTTTCTACCGAAGGGTAGTATTCCACGGTTATTCTCCTGATGATATTCTCCCAAGCCTATTCCAGTGTTTGGCTGGTGTGGAGAAAGCAGCTGTTTCTTGTACAATCCTTCTGATGCTCTTACTTCTCTTGGGTAAGTTCAGTTTTATAAGACACTGCCAGACATTTCTCCAAAGTGGCTGCCCCATTCCCTCCCAGTGTATGAGATTCCAGTTCTTCCATGTCTTGACCAACAATTGGCGTTGCCATTCTTTTTCACTTTAGCCACTCTGGTGGGTATGCAATGATATCGTGTGATTTATTTGGGGTTTCCTGATTACTAATGATGTTGAACATTTTTTGTGTGTGTGCCCTTTAGACATTTACCTATGTTCCTTTGTCAAGTAAAAAATTAGGTGGATTTTTGCCATGTAAATATTTGTGCATCAACATTTATTTGCTCACAGATGAACATTATAAGACTAAAGATTCAGTATTGTGGATATTTTTTTTGACCCTGGCACAATCAGCTACAAATAAATAGCTCTTTAAAAATTTAACTTTGGGACGTCTGGGTGGCTCAGTCGGTTGAGTGTCTGACTCTTGGTTTCGGCTCAGGTCATGATCTCAGGGTCATGAGATCCAGCTCTCCTTCGGGCTCAGAGCTCAGCATGGAGTCTGCTTGAGATTCTCTCCCTCTCTCTCTCCCACCCCCTCTGCCCCTCCCCCTGCCCGCACGCACTCTCTCTCTCTCTCAAATAAATAAATAAGATCT